CCTCTATGAGGTGGATTGATTCAGTGACTGGGGTAATCGGGATGGGTGCGTCAGAGGCAGTGCGATTGGCACGGGATAGAGCACGGTTTAGGGCTGTTGTACATAGGGTCGCTATGAGTCGCAAACGACTCGACGGCACATAACAACAACAACAACAACAACCTCAAGCATGATGGAGCTCATGAGAATGGTACAGGACAGGGCACGGTTTCGATCTGTTGTTGATAGGGTCACTTTGAGCTGTCATCGAGTTGAAGGCACCTAACAACAACAAAGTTGCTGAACACTTACCATGTTTCTGAAATTGTCAGCTCATTGATTCACTGAATTTTCACATCACTGAAACAGGTGTTGTAATTTACTTTTTTTGAAGTAAGGAAATTAGAGCTCAGAGAAGGTTAAGGAATTTGTGTAAGATCACATGGCTCCTGAGTGGAAATTGCAGTTGTTATGTGCTTTGGAGTCGGAAATGACTCATAACTGACCCTCAGGAATTCAGATGCTGTAAATCACATGGGAGGAGATTGTCCAATTCGTTCTCTCATGGAGTAGCTGGTGGATTCGAACTGCCTGCCTTTGGATTGACACCATAACTCCTTACCAACTAGGCCACCAGAGCACCTTTAGAGTGGAAGAGATAGGTTCGAATTCAGGTGTCCAATGCTAAAGTCCATCTGCATGACTTCTGTGCTCTACTAAGCCAAACCTGGACCCAAACCTGTTGTCACCATATTGATTCCATTTCATGGCAACCCTGCATCAAGTTTCCAAGGCTGCAAACTTTTAATAGAGGAGACTGCCCATCTTTCTCCTGAGAAGCTGGTGATGGATTCAAACTGCCAACCAGCACTTGACCTATTATGCCACCAGGGCTCCAGGAGTTCTACAAATCGCTTAACTATATATGAGAGTAAGGCCAGAAACATTTCTCAACTAGGTTGCCTTTTATTAATTTCATTCTAGTTGAATATAATGTCTTTCACATATTTCATAATTCAGACATCACTAGTTTAGATAAACCTGCCACCACACATAGACACACTGGTTAGAATTAGTAACATTTTATATAGTTCAAATGGACTTTTTCCCCCCTTTCTCTTTCTTGTTGTGTGCTGTCGAATTGGATCAGACTGGCACAGGAGGAGACTGGCCCTCCTTCTCCAGCAAAGCATCTGGTAGATTTGAACTGCATGCCTTCAGGATTGCAGTGCAGCTTCTTGCCACTAGGCCATCAGAGCTCCTTAGAATTAGTAACATTTTATTATATGGTTTATAGCATGTGCTTGTAGAGTCTCTGGTGGCGCAAATGGCTAGCACCTTCAGCCACTAAGGGAAAAGCAGTTCGCATCCACTCAGAGGTGCCTTGGAAGAAAGGCCTGGTGATTCTTCCCAAAATCCTGTCCTTGAAAACCCTATAGAACACAGTTCTACTCTGACAACACATGGAATGGCATGAGTTGGAATCCATTTGATGACTTCTGATTAGAGAAAATAAAAACTGAGGAAGGAATCAATTACATAATAAACACAAAAGACAGACTGCAATAAGTAGAACAGCAGAGTGAGAAGTGAGGACGTGGAGTCAGCCAGTGTAAACAACCATCTAAAGAAACACAAAGGAGATGGGAGTGAGTTGTCATCATGGATTAAACCCCTAAAATCTTCTGCATGTTAATATTCTAAGCCCATGGAAACAGAAGAACTGTGTGGCAGCCATCCTTTGCCATCATCACACCAGCATCATAGCTCCCAAGGTTGAGACTTTAAACCATGGCTATTTTGACTAAGTGAAGAGGTCTTTAAATTTTTCATTCATAAAATCAAAGACTACAGCCTTCAATATGGGTTATATCTCAACCACAAGAAGACAGACATTCTCAGCACTGGGCTATTAGACAACAAACAGCATGATAAATGGAGAAAAGATTGACATTGTCAAGCATTTCCTCTTACCTGGACCCACAATCAACACCCTTGGCACCAGCAGTCAAGAAATCAAAAGATGTACTGACTGGGTAAATCTGCTGTCAATAACCCCCCAAAGGTGGTAAGGTGCAATCATATCAATTTAAAGACTGAGGTGCATCTGATTCAAGCCTTAGTCTTTTCTTGTTGTGCATCTGAAAACTGGACAATGACTAAGGATGATACAAGAAGAAGAATCAATGCCTTTGAGTGGTGGTGTTGGCTAAGAGTACTGAATATCCCATAGACTGTTAAAAGACCAAACAGGTCTGTCTTGGAGAAAGTATAACCAACATGCTCCTTGCAGACAAAGATGGCAACACTTCATCTCATATACTTTGGACATGTTGTTATGAGAGCTATTCCTAAATAGGAAAGGGCATCATGCTTGCAAAGGTGGAGGGTCCAGAAAAAAGGAGAAGATCCTCAACAAGATAGACTCACATAGTGATTGTCACAATGGGCCCAAGCATATCAGAGATGGTGAGGATGGCACAGGATAGGACAAGTTTCAGATCTATTGTCCAAGGGGTTGCTTTGAGTTTTAATCGTCTTGAAGGCACCTAACAACAACAAACTTTGGCTTAGAACATTCAGGTCCTGGTGACTAAATTGCCTCCTTCACCTTCTATTTCCTGCCAGGCTCACAGCCCCTATCTTCCCCATTGCGGAGGCGTAGATGTTCACTTCTCAGGAGCAATGGACTGCTTCTGGCAGATTATCAAGACCCAGGGGATGCTGGGGCTCTGGAATGGACTAACTGCCAATTTACTGAAGGTGAGAGAGGTAGCTGGTCTCCACTGCTTTCCAGGCTCTTCCAATGCCACCCTCTTTTGTCACTGCCCTCTATAGTTTGCATGGAAACACTCCCAATATTGCCCATAGTAGCAACTGAGAAAAGGCCATAAGAATAGCTTGGCTGTCAGCCTTGGGTTAAGGGGCCTGGGTACTCTGTTGAGGTATCTCATATTCCACCCCAGAAGAATTGAAAATTTAGAACAGAGACACCGAATATGGGGGTCCACAGAACTCTACGGGAAGTCTAAGCCCTGATCCTAAAACTCATTGCCATCAAATCAATTCCAATTTATGGCAACCCTGTAGGACAGAGTAGAACTGCCCGTAGGTTTTCCAAGGCTGTCATTTTTATAGAAGTAGACTACCACATCTTTCTCCTACAGAACAGTTTGTGCTTTGAATGGTTACACCATTAAGGTTTCTCTGGTGGTAATAGTAGGTTAACTGTTAGGCTACTCACCAGAAGATCTACAGTTCAAATCCACCAGCTGCTCCTTGCTCCTCAGGACCAAGAGGAGTCTCCCATTAAGGTTTTGAGCCTCAGAAACCAGATGGAGGGCTCTCCAGGAGCTGGGACTGACTCTCCAGGAGCTGGGGTCAACTCAACAGCAGTCCCCCATCCGACAGTTATAGGTAAAGAGTTTATATGTACATCTCTAAGGGAGAAGGTCCATAGCTTTAATTATATTCCTTAAGAACTCATGCAATGGTTGACATGTAAATTATTCCATTCAAGGCAAGTATGTGTTAAGAGGTGGTATGGACTCATCCAGTCTCAATACTTTCCCATGAGTTCTTAGGGAATATATTAAAGCTATAGACCTCCTCCCTTAGAGATAACATCTATTTCAATGCAATATACATCATTTTCCCCCTCTTTTTCTGTCTTCCCTCAACTCCAATGTCATTCCCATTTTACAACAGTGGCACTATGCAATATTTGTCTTTTTGTGACTGAGATATTTCACTCAGCATAATGTCTTCCAGGGTCATCCATTTTGCATAATATTTCATGAGTTCCTTGTTTTTCAATGCTGCACTGTATTCCATTGTGTGAATATATCAGAGCTTCTCTATCCTTTCATTTGTTGATGGGCACTTGGGTTGTTTACAGCTCTTTGTTATTGTGAACAAAGCTAAAAAAACCCCGTAAACCCATAAACGTGGGTGTGCATATATCATCTTGGGTGGCAGTTATGGTTTCTTTAGAGTCAATTTCCAGTAGTGGAATTGCTGAGTCAAATGGTATTTCTATTTGCAACAGTTATCTTCATCCATCTCTCTCCCTACCCACCCAATGCCAACTTTCATTTGCCCTTCTTGCCTGATTCTACCAAATACTTACTTTGTCGCATGGTCCAGAGCCTTTACCTCATTTTACCCTGATCTAAGTCAACTACAGATGCAAAAATCTCTTTTAAGAATTATGTTAATTCTTCAACTGTCTTTTACTTTAATAATTTCTTTTATTTTTATTGGTACTGAGAACATACAGCAAAACATCAACCCAGTAATTCAGTGCTGGGTTGAAATTCAGTAATTCCAACATGTACATTTCAGCAGCAACCGCTTTCTTCAAGTTGTACAACCATTTTCACCCTTTTCCTAGTTATTCCTCTCCCACTGGCATAAACTCACTGCTCTCTAAGCTTTCTTATCTAACCTTTTGAGTTTCTGTTGTCAATTTGATGCCACCTAGATATCTTCAATTGGATTGTAACATGACTTCCATGTCTTTTTTTTAACAGATAGTTCCATATTTTGGCATTATGTTTACAACCTTTGAGTTCTGCAAGAGAATCTGTCTTTACCAGAATGGTTACATTGTGTCTCCTCTGAGCTATAAATTGATCCCTGGAGTCGATCAGAGTCTCAAGCCCCAGGAATTAAGAGAATTCAAGAAGTTCTTAAAAACTGAGAAACTAAAGTCTAAAAAACCAACCCTGTAAAACCACGCGGACTGGAAGTATACTAACTGAAAGTGTGTGACAAGGGTTGTTGTTAGGTGTCATCAAATCAGTACTAACTCATAGTGGCCCTGTGTACAACAGATCAAAATCCCGCACAATCCTGTGCCCGCCTCACAATTACCACTGTGCTCAAACCCATTGTTGCAGTCACTGTGTTAATCCATCTCATTGAGGGTCTTCTACTCCTTCTCTAGCCTATTCCAGAGACTGGCCTCTTCTAATAGGTGTCAAAGTACGTGAGACAAAGTCTCACCATCCCTCCCCTCTAAGAAGCACTCTGACTGTACTTCCTCTGACATAAGTTTGTTGGTGCTTTTGACAATGTATGGTATATTCAATACTCCTCGCCAGTGCCACAATTCAAAGGCATCAATTCTTCTTCCTTATTTATTATCCAATTTTCACCTACATATGAAAAGAACTCTGTTTCAATGCCATCAAATTGGAACCAACTCACGGCTGACCCTCCATTGGATTTCCAAGGCTGTAAATTGTACAGAAGATTACCCATCTCTCTCGTGGGCTGCTGGTGAATGTGAACCAAGAGAGACATGCAACGTTTGGATTAGCAGCTCAACAGACTATAGGCCATCAGAGCGTGCATGCGTAAAGTTGGTGAAAAATACCATAGCTTGGATCAGGTGCACCTTACTCTTTAAACTGGCATCCTTACTCTTCAGGATTTTAAAGAACTTCTTGACAGACAATTTGCCCGATGCATCTTTGGATTTCTTGGCTCTTCTTCCATCAGTGTTGATTGTGGATCCAGGTAAAATGAAATATTGACAAGTTCAATCTTTTCTCTATATATCATGATGTTGCCTATTGGTCCAGTGGTGAAGACTTTTTTTCTTGATGTCAGGATGTAACACATATTGAGGGCTATGGTCTGATTTCTTCAGCAAGTGCTTCAAATCTTCTTCACTTTCTATTTTGTTTATAGAAACTTTGTTTGTTTGTGTCACTGCATCACTTGGTTGTTGATGAATCTTCCTTCAATCCTGATGCCACATTGTTCTTCATAGAGCCCAGGTTCTGGAATGATTTGTTCAACATACAGATTCAATAGGTATGGAGAAAGGATATAACCCTGACACGCACTCCTTTCCTGATTTTAAACCATGCAGATATCAGCTTCATAGTCTAGATGTAAGTTTCACATGAGCACAATTAATTGTTCTGGAATTCCCATTATTCTCAATATTAGCCGTAATTTTTTTTATTATTATTCATGCAGTCAAATGCCTTTGCATAATGAACAAAACACAGGTAAACATCTTTATAGTATTCTTTGCTTTCAGCCAAGATCCATCTGACATCAGCAATGAATCCTTCATTCCAAGGCCTCTTCTAAATCCAGCCTGAACATCTGGCAGTTCCCTATGAATGTACTGTCCCAGCCATGTTTGGATGATCTTCAGCAAGATTTTACTTGCATGTGATATTATTCAATAATTTCCACATTTTGTTGGATCACCTTTTTTGGAAATAGCATCAAATAAGGAAGAATCTCTTCCAGTAGGTTGGCCAAGTAGCTGTCTTCCAAATTTCTTGGGATAGATGAGTGAGCACATCAAGGGCTGCATCAGTGTGGTGGGTACAGATAAACATAACCTCATGATTGTGCACCCACAAAGTGATGAGAGGGTCCTGCTGTCTGCTGTTCTCGGAAATGATGCCACCACTAAACTCCACACCCGAGCTCAATGTCCCTTCAAACACCTGCCCATTATGAAGGTTTCCCAACATCATGTTTTCACGGTGACAATTCCCAGATCTTAATCTAAAGCCTAGTGTTAAGGAGGAACTCCGGTGGCCTTGTCATAAGGAGTTGTGCTGCCAACCCAAAGGCACAAAGTTTGAATCCTCCAGCAGCTCTAAAAGGAAAAGCCAGGCAGTTCTCCTAGCATGTGATTTACAGCCTCTGAAAACCTGCTGGAGGGTCAGCAGTGAGTCAGTTCCAACTCAACAGCAAATAACAAAAAGGGAAATCTGCAAAGCTTGCATGGTCCAGCCTAGGCAAGTTAGTTCCTCTCCACTTGACCTCAGACTGCACAAGTTTTCTTGACTAGGGTTGTTTTTGTTGTTCTCAGAATCTCATACTTTAGGAAAGCAGATTTATCCATGCTAGCTTACTTACACTCCAAAAGACCATGACCGTCTTCCAAAGAAGTTCAGGCAAGGAGCTCTGAGAGCTGAATGGTTATAGCATTCAGCTGCTAAGCAAAAGGTTGATGGTTTGGACTCACAAGCCTCTCTGAGGGGACTAAAGACCTGATGCTCTGGTACTTTAAAAATTACCACTTAGGAAACCCTTTAGGGCTATATGACTGTCACATTGGGTCACTATGAGTCAGAATCAAGTGTATGACAACAGGGCTCAGAGTTCCCAGCACTTGAATTCTCAGCATTTTAAACTTGCTTTGCAAGACTACCCTGAAAATAAATTATTTAGGTGACTGAAGTTATCCTCACAAGATGTCCCAGTTACCTGGACAGGATCAAATGGAACATCTGACACACATACCAAAAAAACCAACTTAACTGAAAAAAAAAATAAATAAAAACCACCACCCCAAACAGTTGCTATTGGACTCATTGCAGCTCATGGCAACCCCACGTGTATCAGAGTAGAACTGTGCTCCATAGAGTACTGTTTTATTGTTGTTGTTGTTGTTAGGTGCCATTGAGTCGAGTACAAATCATAGCAACCCTGTGAACAACCGATCTGAACCCTGTCCTATCCTGTGCCATCCTCACAATCTCTGCCATACTCAACCCCATTGCCACAGTCACCATGGCAACACACCTGGCTGAAGGTCGTCCTCTCTTTCGCCACCCCTCCAAATATAGAGTACTAGGTTTTGTAAATATCAAATTTCAAGACTGTTCTTGAAATCTAATTCACTGTACCTTTTGACTAGTGGAGCTCTGGTGGCGTGGTCCGTAGGGAGCTGCACAGCTAAACCGCAGGTCATACTTCTCTGAAGTTTGAATCCATCAGACTATCTTCAGGACAAAGATTTACAGCCAGATCTGCTGGAAGGTCAGCCATGAGTTGGCTGCAAGGAATTTTTGGAGTTTTCCAATAGTGCCTTTCTGTGGATTTAAAAATATTAATATATAATATCAATATTCATGTCTAAACATATAGGGAGGGCTCAGAATACACTAAGTAATTTTTCCTATTAAATTTATTTTCCAAAGAAATTTGTTGATCATTTATTACTAATCAGAATTACAGAAACTGCTTCAGTGTGCCAAAATCTCTATATTCTCAGAAGTTTGTCCTATTTAAATATTCGAAAATAACTCCTTTTCCCAATGGCTGTGGCAGACTGTATGTTTTGTGGGAAATTACAGTTAACATACACATGAAAATTTCAACTCATGGTGATCCTGGAGGACAGAATAAAACTTCTGTATGACATGCTAAGTCTTTATGGAAGCAAACTGCCTCCTCTTTTCTCCCATAGAGCAGATTCAAACAGCAGATCTTTTGGTTAGCAGTCAAGTACTTTAACCACTGTGCTACCAAAGCTTGTGATATAGTTCCTAAAATGGTCAATTCTTTACCCACAGTGGTTAGTTTGTGTTTGTTGCTCTTTATTTCTCTTGAAATGAACATTTTCTTAAAATTAATAATATCTTAGAAAGTTCCGAAAGCTGGGGGGACGTGTATTTTTGTTTTGCTTTGGTTTGGTTTTACTAAATGTAAAAGCCTCCCAAGTTATTTATTGCATAGTAATATCTTTTGTATATTCAACAGCAAGTATGATGAGACTGACAGCAAAGCTCTTATTTATAAAAATGCTTTGAGTTGCAGTCTTTACTTTTTTCAATAAATTTAATGAGAAAAAGAATATGTCTCATTTTTCTTCATTTCAAAACAACTCTTTAAAATTCATTCTCCAAGACAGAAAGATGTAGCAGTCACTTCCATAAAAATTTACTGCTCTCTTACTGCCATCAAGTCAGCGATGCGATAAAGGCATAGCTGACCCTCGAGCAGGTTTTCAGAGGCTGTAAGTCACACTGGAGACTGCCCATCTTTCTGCCATGGTGAATCTGGTGGATTTGAATCATGTTCTTTTGGGTTGGCAGCACAACTTTACCCACTGGGCCTCTAGAGCTTCTTCCCATAAAGACTACAGCTTTGGAAACCCTGGGGGGGGCAGGTCTACACTGTCCCATTAGGTCACTGTGAGTCAGAATCCATGGCAATCCATGGTTTGAGTTTCCTTTGGTAAAACTCAAGTTCCGTTCCTAAAATGCAGTCACAGCTCTTTTCCTGTAATTGGCTGTATGAAGGGACTGTCTGCTCTACGGTGGATCGTGGGCACCACTCTGGATTATGTACCTTAGCAGGGTTTCAATGAAATGTGATGCAGTACTTTTCCAAGAGTCATTTAAAATCTCTGAGGAATGCGACATGCCTGCAGGTGTGAAATCATCCTGGCTACAAAGCAAATACAGCAAAGACACGGTTCCGATTGTCACAAGGCTCAGTATCTACTTACTGAAGACAAAAGTAAGGGATCCTCACAGGTGAGTAGACCTAGTAATGGGTAAGGGGGTCTATGGAGGTAATGAAACCTGGCTAAATTTTTTTAAAATTCTTTTTAATGAAAGTTTACAAAGACTTAGGGTTTTCAGTCATTCATGGTTGCACTTTTCTCCCTACCCACTCCCTTCCTCCCAATTCACTCTCCTCCTTGAAAAGAAAAACTCTTTCATTTTTATGTAATCCCTCCCCCCAAGTCCACTCCACTATGAAGCCTTCACTCTAGACTTGTGTAATGACAAGAATACCCATTCATATATCCCTTTTAAACAGTTCTCTCCCTCATCTGTTTCAATGCAATATACATCATTCCTCCCCTCCTTTTCTGTCTTCCCTCAACCCTGATGTTAGTCCTGTTTTACAACAGTGGCCCTATGCAACATTTGTCTTTTAGTGACTGAGATATTTCACTCAG